CACTTGCCCCTGCCTCGCCTCATTTCTCTGCGTGCTTTGTGGTCCTCATGCATACTGACACATATATGACACACACACACACACTCGCGCAGAGCCGCAGTCAATGTCGATTCATTGTAATACCCTGCCACTAGTGGAGAGCCAGGGTGCACTGAACCGACCTTAGAGGTTGTATACGTTTAAGTCGGGTTTCCATTAGAATTCGGATCTCTTTCCATTGCCTTTCTTACCTTACCTTATTGCCTACGAGTGCCTTGCCTTTCTAGTGCGTCAAGCAGTGCAGTCGCAGTTTTCTTATCTCTTGATCTCCTGCTCCGCCTCTCTCGCAATCGGTTCATGCCGTTGCTCTCTCAGCAACAACAATATACAGGCGACGCACTCGTCTGTGATGACTCTCTTTCGCTCTCAGCGTATACGAATCGAAGGAATAACGGACTACTTCTGCTGGGCAGTTGCTGTCTCTACTTTTGCGGATCTTCTCTCTCTTACTGATACACATTTCTCGCACGATACACGAACGGTAGACACGTCGACCGGCTAAACGCATATATTTCTCTCGCTCTCACTGCATGCTTCTCCCGGAGGGCTGTCTCGGTATTCTCATCTCTCCCTGTAAAGGGTGTCCCATAGTCGCAGCATATCCTATATGATTCCCATTTGTTTTTGTGTGTGTGTTGGCTTTTGTTGATACTCTCGTTATTGTTCGGAATTTGCATACAAAGCGCCTGCAAAGGGGGAAATCACACTAAAAACGTAACTAATTTGTGCCCGAGGAGGATCTCGTGTATTTGGCGACACTCACACACACGCACACACGCGCAGGGCCCTGAAGGACTCGAGTGAAGGGGGAGTGTGCGACTGAAGAAGGACTTGTGAGCCCGTAAAGTGGCTTTGCCGAGTCTTAACAACTTTTTTGTGCGCAGGCCATGCAGGCCGCAGAGGAATTTTCACTCGAGAAATGAAATCAAAGCCACTTGCCAGCAACATTGAGCCGCAGAGAACAGAGGAGCACAGAGGAGAGGGGGAAACAAGAGAAACGCCAACAGCTGGGAGCAAAGGAAAGACCGCAGCAATTTTCTTGTTCCCATTTGCGGCGATGCCTTCGCCTCTGCGAAGAAGGATACGGCCAGGATACAGCACCGGAAGCACAAAAGCCAGTTGACTCGATGGCAACCGCAGGACCGGAGAAGGATGTGCATCTAATCATGACCATATACACATCTACCGATACAGAATCGCCCCAAGAGAAAAGAGTATGCTCCTCTAATGGCTTCCCCTGGCACCCCTCCGCCAATTGTGGATCGCTCCCTGCAGGTCACAGTGCAAATGTTATGGCCGCTGAGCCGGAAATCGAATTTGCATGGCTTTAACGTTTAAACGTTTAAACCTAAAACACACACGCGCACGTGCCACGCCCACGTGCGCCCTGGAGCCGAAAGGCTGCGGAAAAATCGCTCGAAAGAGTGAAGCAATCTCATAATCCTTATTTAATTAAAAATCCAAAAAGGGAAAGAAAAAACCAAATTCGGTCCGAATGCGAATGGGCCAGCGATTTGTATGTGTTTTGCAATCATATTTCCCCTGCAGGAAATCATTTGAAATGTTATTTCAATTTGCAAATTTCATTTAATTTTGCACATCCTTTATTTACTCATTTGTGTTGTTGCATGCATCAATTTTTGAAAACTTCCTCACGGCGGTTTTCAGTGCAGAGGAAACGCCGCTTTCCTGCTAGCTTTGGCTATGACAAATCATAACGGTTTTCTTGTCTTGCCAGCTCTTCAAACAGGACTATTTTGGGCAGAAGATAAGCAGGAAACAAACGCTTTTGATTGCTCCCCAAATCCATGGCCCGCAAGGCGCCAATCTCTTTATCCAAATCGGGGGACCACAACCACCTTGCCCTTCCTGGCTTTTCGGCCATTGCCTCTATTGGGGATGGAAACAGGACTCGCTCGACATGGCCATGGCTTATGGCTTAATGAAGCGAGCACGTAAATGATTGTCAATATGGGCCAAAAAACCAACCAGGGGCCAGGGGCCAGCGGCCAGGGCCATGACTGCAGGGCAATGTCAAAGGAAGAAGCACGAAAAGCTGTCCCTCGTAATAGTTTTCCCGCATCTCTCTTCGGGGGTTAATGGCCGGATCGTGTCGATGACTGCTGGGTGTTGACCAGCCTGGAAATTGAGGAGCAGTTTTCCAGGCCATCGCTTATTCGCTTTTGCGTGTGCCCCGGTACGTGTGTGGCCGTGTGGGGCATTTAATAGTTGGCTAAACAGCCCCTCTGCCGAAATCAATGTAAGTTTTAGAACAGCGGGTGGATGCGGATGCTCCAATGCCCTCCAGGCATCTCACCAAAGCCGCTGTAATACACGCATATACATAATCCTTTCGACAAAAAAGCCTCTTTCTGGCTGATTCAGGGCTTGATTTGGTTTTCCCCAGCACACAGCAAACAGTAAACAAGCTAAAACAAGAAAGAAAAGCTGTAGGTGCGGGGGCACCGATGGTCTGGATACCCTGGCAAGTCCTGAAGAGGACTATCCGCCTTCAAGCAGACAGATGCTGCGTGGCAGGAGTACATTCAACATTTGAATTGCCTTCTGGTAGGGTATCCACAAAAAGGGAGACAAAGACTTGGCTGGCTTTTGGCTGCTGACGCTCTCAATTTTCTTTCTTGTTTTCCGGCTCGGGGCATGGGGGCGTATGAGTAATCATTTTATTACGCGACCCCCGAAAGAGCATGCCGCACAGATGTTGACCTTCTTTTAATGTGCCCCACACTAGGGTTAGGGGCTCGGTGGTGGGTTTTTGTGTGTTGCCAACATACACGCGTGCACGGGGCATGGCTTTTATGGCTCAGTGTTAGACCTCTTTATTACGTTACGCATACGCAAATTTGTCTGGCCTCAAATTAAAATAAATGCGCCAAGCAAAGCGCAAAAGTTGCTGAAGCACATTATTGTGTTTGGAAAATCGAAAGATAATAGAACCGCACAACTTGCAGGAACTTCACGGAAACAGCCACAGAAAGAGATGCACATTCTGGGTCTCTAGACAATATGAATATAAAGCACCAAGTGTGTCGGCTTTGCGATGATACACGATCGCATGGATCAGGCAGACGAAGGCGGAGTGACGTCTCGCCCTCATTGGGGTTTACTTTGTGGATTCCCTGCCCTCCATCCCTTATTTATGTCAAGCCATAAACGAACCCCGTTCGACTGCCTGCCCAGCCTCCCAAGCCCCTCCTAAGCGCAGCATTTCCTCTTCGGCTTCCTGTTTCTGCTGTACGTGTCCTGGAATTGTGTTATTCTACTTCTACTTTGTCTCCCTCCGCCTGTCCCTCTCCTCTGGCTTTTCCGCTCTGCCAGCTGATTTCAAATTTTCACATAATCGCGTTTTCCTCATAAAACGAAACGAAAACAGAGCAAAGAAAAACCGAGCAATGTTGAAACTTTAAAGCAGCGATGGGCATCCGAGCCCGAGCTGTGGAACACGTTCGGGCCCAAAAACAAAATACACGTCGTGTGCGTAACGAGTCTCGCCGCTCTTTGAAGGAACGAGTCGGCTGGGGTGATTACCATTAGACCGGAGATTCATCGTGACAGGAGTCACGGGGTGGCTTTGATTGTGATTGCAGCGAGTCGAGCAACGCTTGAGACTAGCCTGATTACGCCGTCGTTTTGTGGTGTGAGGGAACATTTTTTCCGCCCACCATTGTCTTTCCCCTGGAAGGACCCTAAGTTTCGGATTCCGTTATACATTCCAATTAAGTTGCGTTTTCCTGGATGTCAGGGGCCTCGTCTTCTCTCTCCATCCTTACGCCTCCTGCCCTAGTCCCCCTTTTCCCCCATCCACGTGGTGATCCGTATTCGATACAGATGCCCGTCGGTACCTTTGCTGATTCCCTCCAGTAGTTCGTAGCCCAACAGGATCCCGAGGCCGCTATCCGGCGATTGCCTAAGCGCTCCCGGTGACGTCTGTTTGTGTCCCGCATGATCCCAGTAGTTCCCCAGGGTCCCGTAAGTGTTATCCGGCGATAGCCCGGCACTCTCAGCGATATCCTCGCTGGGTAAAGACCTCCGTGGTAATTCGAACCAGGGGTAGGACCCCGAAAACGAGATCTGGCGACCTACCTCGGCGAGGTAGTTACCTAAAACTTATCGGCGAGATTCGTCTGTACGCCCCGTGAGGTGGTTCCCCCAGGCCCCCAGTTGGTCGCCCCCACCTTCAAAAGGGCTACCAGGTTGTCCCCTCCAGCCCGTCGGGACCCCACACGCCCCTCGGGACTGGTGCGCCGTCCACCATTGTAGGTCCGAGACCCAGCCAGGATCGCTTGCTTACTGTGGGAACTGTACTCGCTTTTTTTTGTTTTACTTTACAACAATCAGGAATTATTTCCACTCGACTAGCAACTGGTGGCTCTCCCACAGTTTGCCCCATTCCCCCCCCATTTCCCATTCTCCACCGCTCGGCCTCATGCCGCATGTTACGAAATTTGTAATTGAGCGAAGCGGATAAATTACACGGACGCCGACAAACTTTCACCATGTAAATTGTGGGTCAGCCACCACATAAGGGGGTAGAGGGTATGGCGAGAGGGGGACAGATGAGAGATGAGAGATCCCCACCGCCCTTCCCCCTAGAGCAAGGTGAAGCTTTTGCGCAACGCTCGAAATCAAATTCGTTTAAAAACTGCCCCCCAGAAGCAATTCGTTGATGACGTAGGCACCACAGCCCCCACCGAAAAGCTCTCTTGCCTGAGCATGTCGTATCTGTATCTGAAGCCGATGCCGATGCTGATGCTGTAGCTGTAGCTGTAGTTGTGGCTCTGGCTGTATCTGTATCTGTATCTGCATCTGCATCCGAGAGAGCTGTGCACGAGTCTAGGCCACACGTGCGTGAGAATAGGAACGGCCTGGTCTCGTCGGACGCGACGGCTCGAAATCTGATAATCAGTCAGTCCCGAGTGGCAAGTGGAACCTTATCGTCGCCGCGTCGCCACACTTGACCACTCAGATGTGATGTTGGCGTTGCCATAAATCCCGCCATTCCGATTGCGATTCTGATTGCGATTGTGATAAGAGCTCTCCGCCAAACTCAGAGCTGACTGGCAGTTGCAACGCGTTTGCCGTCGAGCGTAGACATGTCCGCGTCCGCGTCCGCGTCCTGGTCGAGGACACTCGTCGCCCTGACCATCACCTGGCTGAGCATGGTCTGCCTCCTGCCGGTGGAGACCTTCTGCGACACCTCCTACTACGAAAAGTACTACGCTGCCCGCCGCTACGTGCCGCTCAAGCGGAATGCCCCGCTGCTCTTCAACTTCACCCTCACCCTCACCGATTCCGACTCAGCCCAACTGGCAGTCCACGAGCGGCCCGCCCTCGTCGGCAATCTGCAGGTGCTGGGCGCCTGGAAGGCCAGCGGAGCCCTGCTCCTGAACCGGACGGCCATCCACAACGTGTGGAGCGGATCGGTGGAGATTCCCCAGAACAGCAGCGTGGAGTATCGCTACTTTGCCGCCGCCGTGGGCCGCTCCGGGAACGTGCAAGTCCGTCGCTGGGAGTCGCATGTGCTGCCAAGGACCTTCAACGTCACCAAGCTGCCGGGCAACCGGAGCGACGAGTTTGGGGTCATCTCTGGCCAGCGACAGCTGACGCTGGGCTGGCTCCAGGAATCCGGGAGCATTCTACAGCTGAAGGTGTTCCGCGACGCCCTGCGCCTGGAGGAGGATCCCGTGGACTCCGGGCGTGGCGCGCTGCGTCTGCGCGTGCAGCCCGTGGATCCGGCCACCCTGTCGCCCATCCTGAGCTCCGCTCGCGCCAACATCGAGTACGTCCGCATGGCCTACGCCGACAGCAAGCTGCGGGCCCAGCCGGAATACGGAGTGCCGTATGCAGCCCCCGACATCCTCATGTACCACGCGGCCCTGGATGAACTGGAGAAGGTGGCCTTCCTCGTGGAGGTCTATGCAGAACAGACGGAGGATGATCTGGTGCGGCTCCTGGGCTACGCCCACCTGCAGCCCGCATCGCTGACGGGCAGTGAGGGCACTGTGACCCTCAGCCTGATCTCGCCCCTGTGGCAGCGCGTGGTGGGAGAGCTGCGGATGGAGTACCTGCTCATCCGTCCGATGGCCAACCACAGCTTCGATCTGCGCACCAGCTTCGCCCACTACTGGAGGGGCAACTGGACGGGGCTGGAGATCGGGCACCGGGGACTGGGCAAGAGCCTGACGGTCACCTCCAATGCGGCGCCTCTGATCGAGAACACGCTGGCCTCGATGCTGGCCTCCGTGGAGCTGGGCGCCGATCTCGTGGAGTTCGATGTGCAGCTGACCAGCGACCTGGTGGCCATCATACACCACGACTGGAGCATCCACGTGTGCATCCACCCCAAGACGCCGACGAGCCGCGACGACCTCACCGAGGTCCTCTTGAAGGACATCACCTACGAGCAGCTGAAGGAGCTGAAGACCTACCAGATCGTGGGCAACAAGATCGTCGAGTACCCGGCCCACAACAACGTCGAGCAGCTGGAGCAGCGCCTCTTCCCCACCCTGCAGGACTTCTTCGAGCGCGTGAACCAGAGCGTGGGCCTCGACATTGAGCTGAAGTGGCCGCAGCAGAAGGCGAACGGGGAGTACGAGAGCGAGCAGACGATCGACAAGAACCTGTTCGTGGACCGCATCCTGGAGGTGGTGCAGCAGCACGGCTGCGGGCGGCTCAACATCCTGAAGAGCTTCGACGTGGACCTGTGCTCCCTGTTGCGCTTCAAGCAGAACATGTACCCCGTGCTGGTCCTCTCGAGCAGCACGAATGACTACTACTCGGATCCCCGCACCAGCGTCGTGGAGACCATCAACTTTGTGCAGGCCTTCGATCTAGCCGGCATCGCCCCGAACACCGTACCCATCAAGGCCAATCCCGCGCTGGTGCAGAGCGCCAAGGACCAGGTCGAGCTGGTCCTGGCCTGGGGGGCTGACCTCAAGGACCGCGTCTCCATCGACTCGTTCATCCAGATGGGGCTCACGGCCGTCATCTACGATCGCATGGACCTCTGGATCAGTCCCAACCAGACGAGTGCCTTCGAGTCCGAGCAGGATCTGCCCGACTTCTTCCAGCTGCAGTGCGAGCCGGCGCCCCAGAAGCGCGTGGTGAACGCCACCATCGAGAGCATCCTGAGCAACGTTAACTTCTTGTAGTACTCTTACTTATACATATTTACGTCAATCAATAAACGAGCTAGAAAGGAGCCCCTGATCTACCCCTGCTCCTCCTCCTTGAGTAATGGTTGGGCGTGGATCCCTGAGCATTGGTGCCGTAAATGCGCCACGGTTTCCCAGCTATACTCGTACGTGTGCTGGCAAAAGTAAACGTAAACGTGAACTTGAAAATTTAAGTCTTTAATGAAATCATTGCCATATCCCACCGATGTTTGTGGGGATGATGATGCTGGGTTCCATTTGCATACCCATACCCCAAACCATACCCATACCCATACCCGTTCGCAAGCAATCAACTGGGGGCTGCTGACGTTGGATGATGGCTGGGCTATGGGTCCGCACGCTTTTCCCTAGAGACAATTACCTGCAGCTCTGGTCTCGCTTTGCACTCGCTGCGACGGGGATTAGGGGTGTCCATGCATATGTAAATACGCGGCATTTATTACAGCCATGTATCCGATTCGCCGTCGGTGGGTGTACATGTTGTTCGGCAATTTGGCGCGGCATGGCATGCTCGCAGGGAAGGAGAGAATTGCCACAAATAATTGGATATGCAAAATGTTGAATTCAAAAACAAATGTGCAAATTGCCGTTTAGTAAATCAAGAATGGTAATTGCAATGCTGGATCCATATAACAGGGTACACATCTGTGGGTTTCTCTAATTATCAAAGGTCACAATCGAAGCCATCTATAAATTATTCTTAGATAAGATTTGAAAGTAGCTAATCTTATCGTCCGTTTGCTTACAGCGCCAGCTGATGGAGGCCTACATCCGACAGAAGAGGGCGTCGCCGGGCATGGTCCAGGCCAGTGATCTGCAGATCAGTCGACCCATGTCCGGGATGCGCAGCAACAGCCGCGAGCTGCATGCCTACGACGGACCGATGCAGTTCATCAGCTCGCCACACAATCCCGACCAGATACTCACCAACGGCAGCCCCGTCGGTGGAACAGTTGCCATGAACTCCACTCGAAATCACTCGAACAACATGCGAACCCTGAGTACCATCAGCCAGGAGGGTATGACAGCCCTAGCTCCAATCAGAAATGTAGGAGGTAATGAGTGCGTTCTTCCATCCACAGCGGATCTAATCGAGGAGATCTCATCGCATGAGCTGGAGGACGAGGAGAGCAGCCCCGTGACGGTAATCGAGCAGCAACAGACCGCCCCGCACAGCGCCAACTCCACGCATTCGCAGCGGCCAAGCACCACCCGCCAGCCGTCCTTCAACGACACCCTGGACGAGGATGACTACACCAACCGCAACATAGCCGGTGCGGCACCTGTCCGTCCCGTTGGACTGGCCTCCTCGCCCTACAAGGAGGCGGGTCTGGACGGCAGCAGCATGGAAACATCGAACGGAGCCGGTGGGGAGTCCGAGGGCGATGTGATCGGTAACATCGATCAGTTCGTGATGCAGCCAGCGCCCCAGGGAGTCCTGTACAAATGTCGCATCACACGGGATCGCAAGGGCATGGATCGCGGCCTGTTCCCCATATACTATTTGCACCTGGAGCGGGACTACGGCAAGAAGATCTTTCTGCTGGGAGGTGGGTCAACCATGGACTCCTTCACTCCGGGAACTCTCTGCTTAATCTTCCGATTCCTTTGCAGGTCGCAAGCGGAAGAAGAGCAAGACATCGAACTACATTGTCAGCTGCGACCCCACGGACCTGTCCCGCAGCGCTGATGGCTTCTGCGGCAAACTGCGATCCAATGTCTTTGGCACATCCTTCACGGTCTTTGACAGTGGCAACAAGGACAGCACGGACAGTCCGCGTCTCGACCTGGCCGTCATCATCTACGTGAGTACAACATTCAGAGAGGTGTTGCAATCCTAAAGGATTTTTACTTTCCAACAGGACACCAACATCCTGGGATTCAAGGGACCCCGCAACATGACTGTGATACTGCCGGGCATGACTGAGGACGATCAGCGTGTCAAGATCAGTTCAGCGGATCCCAAGCAGACGGGCATTCTCGACTTGTATAAGATGAAGGTGGGACTCTTCACTGATCCGATCCGAATTTATGTATCATCCCAGGAATTGAACAATCTTTGCAGAATATGGACAACATTGTGGAGCTGCACAACAAGACGCCCGTGTGGAACGACGAGACGCAGTCGTATGTGCTCAACTTCCATGGACGCGTCACCCAGGCGTCGGTGAAGAACTTTCAGCTGGTGCACGACTCCGATCCCGAGTACATTGTGATGCAGTTCGGCCGCACCTCGGAGGATGTCTTCACCATGGACTATCGCTATCCCCTGTGCGCCATGCAAGCCTTTGCCATAGCCCTCAGCAGTTTTGATGGCAAAATAGCCTGCGAGTGAGCCAACCCAGCCCCAGGACCTGTCCCGCTGCCTTATGTATAGATGTATAATGGATCGTGGATCGTGGATCATGCCGTCGTGGAAGACAAAGACGCATTATTGATGATAGCCTCAGAAATCTAGTCACTCGAAGTAGGACAACGTTGATATATGTGTGTGTGTATAGATACGATAATGTACTTAATGCATATGTTACGTACAACATCTTTTCAGAATTTGCTCACCGATTTTGTAAAGAATTATACCGAAGAATTATAGTACGTAGTTGAGTTCGTGTAACTTTGTACTTCTAAATGTGTGCCCTGTAAACGCCCTGTAAGTTCTATTGTAAGCGATATCGAGACATGTATGTAGATGTCATCAAAGTTAAATATCATTGATCAATTCGATAGTCCGCATATAGGAGCAGACTATATTCAATGCGATTACTATTAGCCGGTAAGAGAGCATACTAACTTTTGCTGAGCTCGAAATATGATTAAGGCCCCAAGAAGTATCGATTCTGCGAGTATTTATGTATTGTATTTACTTTACGACTCTATATCACACCAAATACATAATAAAAAACAATGCAATACATATTTAACATATTATTTTATTCAGAGAAACCCGTGGAAGTTCTGGTGTAGCTTAGGTAATGTTTTATTTATTACTCGTAAATATGTTAATATCGTTAAGTACATTTACTTTATCTGTTGCATGTCAAATGCAAATTTCCAGCTGTCAAGGCCATTCACATAATCGTAGAAATCATAGATTCGTATTTACAAAAAAATTAAACCATTTTCACTCATTTGACGGCTCCATCACATTGGAAGTGTACAAAGAATACACCAATAGTTGTATAAATATCCTCGGATGGTTTTGTTAATAACTAATAAGTACAGGAGCGAGTACTCTGGAATAGCGTGGGATATCTTTTATCCTTAATCAGACTCTGAACCCTTCACATAATGCGATACTTTTCACTCAACATAAAGTAGTTAAGTTGCGGTTTTCTCTTTATACATTATACATATAATATCTTTCTTCTGACTTATACCCGCTCTTGCTATAATCGTTTGCGAGACTTGTGTGGGCTTGCGCGATCCTGGGGGAGCTTAAACTCGTGCGGGTCGTAGTCCTCGTACGCGAGCTGCCGCTCTGGCGCCGACTCAGGTAACTTGTTGATTTTCTGCAGTCTCGAATGGACAATCTGCAGATGGCGACCAATATAGTCCTCGGCGGGAGCCAGTCGTTGGGCATATTGCAGGCAGGCGGCCGCCTTGGCCAGCCGCTTGCGCTCGACAAACACCACGCACAGATTGTGCAGGCCCTGGGTATTCTGGGGCTCGTAGTGAAGGATGCTGCGATAGCACTTCTCGGCCGCATCCAGATCCTTCATATGATTGATGTAGATATCGCCCAGCAGGATGAGGCCCTTGACGTGCGAGGCGTGATGGCGTATTAGCTGGTTGAGAAACGGCACTGCATCCAGGGGCCGCTTCGTGTCCGCCAGCAGGAGGGCCAGATTGAAGAGCGCACTGCGAAAGTCCGACTTGAGGTGGATGGCTCGCTTGAAGAACTGCTCCGCCTCTTCGAAGCTCGACTCGTCCATGGCCAGCATGCCCAGATTGAAGTAGACCTTCTCGTTGTGATCATCCTTGGCCAGCACCTTGTACAGGCGCGAGCGGGACACCTTACGCGCCTCCTCGCCACCCAGCTCCTGCAACAGAATGGCCGAGTTGAGCAGCGCCTGCTCGTGCTCCGGGTACAGCTCGATGGCCTTGTTGAAGTACACCTGGGCCTGCTGGCTCTTGCCCTGCTCCAGAAAGACCACACCCAGGTTGTAGTAGATGTCCGCGTTCTCGCTGTCATACAGTAGAGCCTGCTCGTACACCTCCTGCGCCTGGGCTGTGCGATTGAGTTTCATCAGAATATCACCGCGGTTGATGTAGGCCTGCAGGGAAGCGAAATATATAGTATATTACAATTGTCAGTCTAGGGGCGATCAAGGGATCTCACCTGAACGTAATCACTCCTCATGCTGATGGCCTGGCGGTAGAGATGGTCGGCCTCCTCGAGCCGTGTCTGGTTCTTGGCTATGAGATTCGCTAGGTTGATGAAAACATTTAAATGATTGGGGGCTATGCGTGCATGATAGCTGACTCCAGGCTTGGCCTGCGGAAAGAGAGCCTTGGCCTTCACGTAAGCCTGCTCTGCCTCTGCGTACCGCTTGAGGTTATTTAACGTGCGCCCAACATTGATGTGGGCACCAATATCGTCCGTTTGAATGCGCACCGCCTCCTGAAAGTAGAGCAGGGCCTCCTCGTACCCTCCCTCGTTCTCGAGGGCGTGTCCCACATTGTTGTACAGCTTGGCATTGCGCTGATTCACGTGCACGCCGGACATGAACAGAGAGTACTCCGTCCGCCAGTCCCGATTACGTTGATGGGTCTTCAGGGCGTGGGAAAGCAGTAAAACGCCGAGTGCCACCTGCCCCACGATTCTCCATTTGAGGCACCAACGTCGCTGCAGCTGCTCGAAGCCGTAGGCCACCAGCAGGCAGTAGCCCATCGATGGCATATAGAGAATGCGTTCGGCCACCACAAAACCGACCGGGAAGAACAGATTGGAGGCCGGCAGAAAGGGCAGCACCATCCACCCGAGGCACATGAGCAGCGTCCGTGATTGGGCCAGATTGCGGGTGAAGCAGGCTTTGGCCACCAGCGCTCCCAGGGCCAGGAAGGTGCACAGAGTGGTCACGTTACGAGCATCCGAGAATCCCTCCAGCAGCGGAACAGTGCCTAAAATGGAATCAGTTAATAAGACACTCGTTTTAATGAGGTATTGCACTCACCCATGGTCCAGTCACAGCAGAGCAGAGAGGGGCACAGGAGAAGCCAGCAATTTAGGTAGATGAGGTAGCCGTAGGTGAGCTGACGTTCGGGCGTATCTGCCGCCGAAGCTGGATTGTCGAAGCGCGTGAAAATGGGCAGCTGTGAGCCCATCACATAGACACGCCCTGCCAAAAGGGCCACCGTGATGCCGCCCAGAAAGAACAAGCGTTTCCACAGAGTCGACGACGACCAGCGACGAGCGCCCGACACACTCCCCAGCTTGGGGGACTGCTGCTCGGGCTGCTCCTCAAAGAAGCGCAGCACAAAGTTGCACAAGTGCAGCGGACGCAGTTGATGCACGACGAACAGCTCGTATACGACGCATATTCCGGCAATGGTGATTCCCTGCTCCTTGCACAGCATGGATGCCGAAAGGCAACTGCCAAAGCAGAAGAACAGTCCCAGCCAATTGGTGCGCCGAGTGCAGCCGGAATCGCCAACGGACTTCGCGTAGCTGAGAAAGGCGGCCAGGAAGCAGATGGAAGAGAGCAATTCAGCGCGGCCGACGACGCCAGTAACGGCCTCCGTGTGCACCGGGTGAATGGCAAAGAGCAGCGAGGCCACAAAGGCGCATGTGTTGAGCGAGGACGACGGTGCATTACTGCCTACGGCCGCACACTGCCGGAGCACCAGCCGGCAGACCCGACGCCACAGCAGGCAGACCAGCAAGTGCAGCAGCAGGTTGACGAGATGGTAACCAAACGGCTCCAGTGCATGCAGCAAGTAGTTGAAGCGGAACGTCAGCACTGTGAGCGGTCGGTAGGACTTGTGGGACTGCTCTTTGCGCATCGGCGTGCCCCAAAAATCGTTAAGGAACACATTACGCAGTGGCGTGTGGGGCCGCAGGTCCTTGTTATCCCTTATCGCACTGATGTCGTCGAACACGAGCCCGCACTGGGTGCTGTTGTAATAACAGGCGATGCACGCAACGCAGATGCACACAAACTCGAGCAGATTCCGCTGCGAGGAGCTACCTCTAACCACCACCTCTCTCTCCCGGTTACGGTTGCATGGTATAGCATAGGCTGCTGCTGGCTGAACTAGTGGCAACTGCGGACTGGTGCTGGGGTTGGGGTTGGGGTTCATTGACATGTTGACTTCGCGTTACTTCGTGAAATCGTGAAACGTTTCATGTATCCATAATTGCTTATTCATTCGATGGAATGTTGCATGTAGGGCTTTTCCTGATTGTACTATGGAAGGGTTTCGGGGTGGTCTACATGGCCTGGAAATAAATGGTATACAAAAGGAGGAAATTAGTTAGAAAATTGATAGCTTACATCTCAGTTATCTAGAGTTGTGCTTGTATTAAATACTATCTTTAGAAAGGGTTCCGTTCCCATATCTATAAGATTTCCCTATAGGAAGACACTCTTAAAAGTATGCTTTGATATAATTCCCCAGGGATAAGTACATGGTATATCTCCTGATTCTATTAGATACATACTCCAGTTACTTTTTGCAGTAACATGTACGTCGTATACACGCACAGATGTACTTATATACGAATACATATGTCCCAGAACCATAGATACATACCGAAATACTTTTCTTACTTTCACACAAATCTCATCTTTATAGTCCCCTTGAATCCACACACCTTTTGGCTTCTATTCAAAGGTCGCTTTTAATGGCAGACTTTCTTCCGGCTTTTTATGGCCACTTGCTGGTTTTACAAGGAAGCAAAAACTGATTGTGGAAAAATCAATTAGCGCGCAACAAAGTAACTTCGTCCCGGTTACTGTCCTCGATACCAACTGCACACACAAAAGGCCCGAAGTTAACAAAGTTGTAAATGGAGGCAGCGACTCGGCCGCTGGAACACCCGGAGACGGAGACGGAGACCAGAGCGGGCCGGCATATACGGACGGAGAGAGACGGCCAAAGAGAGCGATGCAAAATTGCAGGCAGTGAGCGAGAGTCGGAGAGAGTTTTGTTTGTGTTTTACATATTATGGAAGGCGGAGGAGGAGCCAGAACGTGAGCATTACTAGGCGAGGCACATCGGCATGCTGAGGCGGATGTAGATGAAGATGGGGAGTGGATGCAACATAGAGAGGCATACAACAATGTTGCGCTCAATGTCATCGATTTTCGAGGCGGACAGTCAAAACAAACCACCACCGAAGTAAGCGCTCGTAAAGAGAGAAGGCTTTGGAGTCGCAGCTGAGCGCAACTTTGTTGCACGACCGAGTTTTCCCGAAGGACGACGACCAGGATGGTGTTGCACGTGCTCTGGTTTCCCGCCAATTGCGGCGCATGAGCTCTGATATCCTTGCACTTTCACTTCGGGGCTTTCTCTATCGCTCTCGATGCGCTCTCCGGCTCTCTGCTGAAATTAATGGATGTTTGTGTTTTTGTAAAATTACTTTGACCGAGATACGCCGGGGAGCTGGCGCTCGAGAGCCTTCCACATGTCCTCTCCCATGCGCTTTGACATGGACATGGAA